ACCAGAAGTCCCTGACAGGGTCCCATTCCATCTCTTCATGACCCGCTGATTGACCCCCATTTGACCTCTCTTAATGCATATGTTGTCCTGGATTTTTCGCATTACATGTTTGAACAAGGTAGTAATTATGCTTGTACTGCACTTTAGCTGTCTTCAATTTTGAAGAGACTCTTTTTCTAATTACTTAAGGCCAAGGGTTTAAATTGGGTGAGATTCCACAGGATTTGGGTAGGCTCCTTGGGGGAGTTCTAGGGTGAAAAATGTCCTCATTTTGAAACAAAACATAGAAGCAAAGAAAGTTGCCCAGTGCAAAAAAATGTCTCTGCTTGCTTCCTATGGTCAGAGTTCTTAAGTTTTTGTACACCCTCAGGAGTGTGAAAATCAAGGGTAATTTGGGATCTGGGCTACAGTTATATTTTTGCAAGAAAGATGCGACAGTGGCGTTAAAATGTGACTTGTTTCACACGTTTCTGGTCCTTGGCTGGGTTTGATCATTGGTAGGTAGGTGCTCATGGGGATAATACGTATGTCTCCCTGTGGAACCTGGGTTCACCCCCACAGGGCACTGAGGGCCCTCAGATGCTGTGAGGGGGCAGAGAGAAGGCCACTGCACAACAGGTGACAGCCAAGCTTGTTCAAGGCCCCGAGGACACTCCGCCCCACCCCGGGTCCCTCCTGCCGGCCCCACTCAGTCTCTGTCCATCTAGGACAGCGGTTCTCAACCTGTGGGTCGCGACCCCTTTGGGGGTTGAACGACCCTTTCACAGGGGTCGCCTAAGACCATTGGAAAACACATATATAATTACATATTGTTTTTGTGATTAATCACTATGCTTTAATTATGTTCAATTTGTAACAATGAAAATACATCCTGCATATCAGATATTTACATTACGATTAATAACAGTAGCAAAATTACGGTTATGAAGTAGCAACGAAAATAATTTTATGGTTGGGGGTCACCACAACATGAGGAACTGTATTAAAGGGTCGCGGCATTAGGAAGGTTGAGAACCACTGCTCTAAAGGGAGGCTGAGTAGCCTTCTGTCCAGCCCCTGGGGCTGTGGT